GAATCTCGCAACGAGAAAAATTCTTCTTTCATGTCGTTTATTGAAATCCTTCTTTTTTCTTTTCTTTCCTTACTTTTTAACACGATATACCAAAATTATATATGACAAACAGCTTAATGTAAAACAGCCAAGCGCGATTTGACAGGTTTCTCTCGATAAGATACCGGTTGAAAATGTGACAGGATCGGGGCTACCGTACCTCAGATAATTGCATCGCGGCAGGATCGTGAGCCGCGTTAAACATCGTGTAAAAGGCGAGACGTGTGTACCAACTTGACACCTACCTAAATCTCCGGCTCAGCTCTTAATAGTCGTGTCAGTTCCCCGTCGTGTCTTCGACATCGATAAGGATCGGTAACTCCGTGGCGAAAACGATAACATTCACCGTAGCGGATGAGGAAAAGGACGAGCACGACGACAACGAAGATCGGGATGCTTCAACGGATCAACATTCCAGTAGCGTTCCCTGGCCACCGTCGAAAATTCATCGTGACAACGAAAACGACAACAGCAACGTCGATGACGAGGATCGGATGGGGAATTTCTGACAGTTTGTCCGCCACGAAATCTATCGTGTCAGCAAAAATGATAAGAGGAATTGACAAAAAGGTAACGAACGAGACCCAGCGTGAATCAACATTCTAGAAACGTTTCTCGTTCGGTCCGTTCCACGGATGTTGATTATTCGCGAAAAGCAGCATAATCGAATTTTTCATCGAATCCCCGTTGTTGTTCTAGGAAGTCTCTTATTGATCCGTCTACCGAGAAATTCCGAGTGGACACTGAAAATTCTGCGTGTGATAATCGAGAAAAGGATAACGATCACGTGCATCGTGAATCGAAATAAAAGAGAGAGAAAAGAAAAAGGTAAAGGAAGAAAAAAGTTGAAAATATGAAATTCGTGTAACGATCACGTGCACGGGTGTACCATAGACTCTGTTTTCGCGCGTTCGATTGTTAAATAATCATTAAGATACAGTATGATGTGACTTTGCCTTTTTTCTCTTTGCTTTTTATTAGTCGTTTACAATCTGAGTTGTTGGTCGTACGTGTCATCTACTAGCTACTGCAATCGAGGAAGAAAGATGAAAAGGAAGATGGTATAAGAGAAGGAGAAAGAACGAGAACGAGAGAGAGAGAGAGAGAGAGAGAGAGAGATCGAGCGAG